CAAAGTGAATTAGGGCTGCATTAGTGGGCCATGCTTCACATGGACTGTCAGGGTAGGACTTTAGGTCTGTACATGGTTATTTTGTTGTGGTTGGTTTTTTTTTCTTCCTTTTTTTTTTTTTTTTTTTTTTTTAATGGCACACCAATTAGCATCATTTTCCAGCATGGGAGCATGGGGCTATTTGTGGTTTGCAGCTGAGCAAGTGCTTCTTACTCCAAAGATGAAATTCATGCAAACACCTCCCTGGGCACTTCTGTCCTGGCTGTGATGGGATGTTCCTGTGTGTCTGTGTGCATATGACATTGCACATAATGAGGCCTGGGAATAGAAATGGGAAGAAGGGATCAGGAGAAAATGACTTTGTGACCAGTGACTCAGCGTGCTATCTGCATACACTGCCTTTCTCTGCAAGTCTGTGCACACAGGCAATCCCTGTAACAAAAAGCAGTTCCCTGCTGAGAACTTGTATTGAAGATCTATGTGTTTATAATGCATGCAAAATGTCTTACAAGGAGTTGGAACCACTTTATCCTCACTGTCTCTTAATTCTCATATTTGCATCTAGTAGCACGGAAGGAAAAAAGTATTTGTATTCCTGATAAGTGGAGAAACACAGACACAAGCCCAAATACTCACTTGCTCAGCAATTGAAAGAACTTTCTAGAAAGGCCTCCTCTGGGAACTTTTCAGTTGCTGTGTGGGGCCAGAGTGTCCAGAGTGGTGATAATGAGGCCCACGGGTTTACCCATTGTGTTTCTGGACACTTTAAGAATTGTGCTAAAGGAATATCTCAAGTTTTTTCTTTTTTTTCCATTCCTATACTTGTTCTACCATTTTTTCTGTCTTGCTTTTAAAAGGCCTCTGCTTACTTCATCAGCAGCATTTGCCAAGTGTCATTTCATCTCTGGAGCATCCCCTCCCCTGAAGGCTGAGGCCGCCTCTGTGTTTCCCATGCCCTATGTTCATATCTCTGCGATGTGTTTGTAATACCAGATGAGAGGAGTTCATCTGCACGTCTGAACCCCCTGGGGAGGGACTGTCCAGTTCAGCAGACTGTGGGAGATGCAGGCCACTGTCAACAGACAAGGGGCCATTTCACACGTGACCTGAATCCAGCTTCAGGGAGGAGAGACTGTGGTGTGATAGTTTTTCCTTCCCATCTGAGACCAATTAAGGTGTCTGTTCAGGGATGCTGAGCTCACAACGGCTCAGTACCAGGACAGTTTATAAATATACCAGGGCTTCCCTTTCGCAGAATAACCAGTGACAGAAGTGGTGAAAGGAGCAATAAGGGAGGTGTGTGTGTGTGTGGGGGGGGGCACCAGGGACCAGCTGCATACATTTAACTCCCTTCACGTCCAGGAAGGACGTGTCGTGGACATAGCCATTCAGTGGAGAGGTTGAGTCTTATCTCAGCAAAGACAGTACACCTTGGCCTTGTCTTCAATATGGGATGCAGAAGATGGGTTCCATTTAGGATAGTTATGATCATATAGGTTCTATAAAATACCTGTGAGTCCTGAATTAGTTAATAATTGTCCATGACTTTTTGGGGAAATGCATGGTTTAGTGAGCCACTGGTGAGGATCCCGTCACAAAAGTTTCATCAACTGGTCATTACATAACCTTGTTTTATTTGTATTTATCTTGAAAGATAACTTATTTAATACCTATTCCTAATAAGCACTAAAACATATGCAGTATTGCTTTATAATAAACACTAACCAAGAAGGGTTCAATAATTTCCTGAACCAGAGTAATATGACCATAAATTTCTTTGGCTTTTGGCCTCACAACAATACACTGGGCTACAGATTTTTTTTTTCTTTAACAGTTCATCATCTCATGAATCTACAAATTCAGTTACTTTTTAAAATCATTTTGGGGGCTGGGGATGTGGCTCAAGCGGTAGCGCGCTCACCTGGCATGCGTGCGGCCTGGGTTCAATCCTCAGCACCACATAAAAAAAGATGTTGTGTCTGCCAAAAACTAAAAAATATAAATATTAAAAAATTCTCTCTCTCTTTCTCTCTCTCTCACTCTCTAAAAAAATAAAAATAAAATCATTTTGATAGCTTCATTATGTACTACAGATATTAATAGTATTTTCTGGAGTGCTCTTACATATAGATCAGGGAATTTCCTCTTCCTATTTCTGAATGTACTGTTGTATTGATTCATTAATATTAAACTTGCAGTCGTCAGTACTGTAACTCGGGCCTGAGTGAAGCTTATTTAACATGTGTGTTTTCTCCACAAGGCACATCACAGCCTTTGTACCCTTTGTTACATTAGAGAACACGTTAGCACCATGCACAGGATCATTTAAAACAGTGAAATCACCAACAAAAACACAAAAATGCAAAACAAAACAAAAAACACGTAGCAGTACATCAACTTGAAAGCACACTTATTTATAAATAGAAGAGCTGACATAAGAAGGCAGAGTAGCACCCTGTGCCATTTCAATGGGGAATATATGGGTTGGAAACTCAAAGTTTCCACCACTCTGCAAGTCCTGAAATGATTCTGAAGTGCGTTGAGTATTGTTTAGGGATTACTGTTATGGTTTGGATATGAGGTGTCCCCCAAAAGTTCATGCGTGAGACAATGTAAGAAGGTTCAGAGGAGAAATGATTGGGTTATAATGATCTTAACCAAATAACTGAATTAATCCCCTGAAAGGGATTAACTGAGTGGTAACTGAAGTGGTAGGGTGTGGCTGGAGGAGGTGGGAATTGGGGATGTGGCTTTGGGGGATATATTTGTATCTGGTAAGTGGAGACCCCTCTCCCTTTTTCTGATCATCATGTGAGCTGCTTTCCTCTGCCACACTTTTATGCCATGATGTTTAGCCTCACCTGGAGCTCCGAGGGATGGTGCTGGGCTTCTATGGACTGAGACCTCTGAAACTGTGAACCCTCAAATAAATCTTTCCTCTACAATTGTTCTGGTTGGCCCTTTTAGTCACAGCAGTGAACAAGCTAACTGAAAAATTAGAAAGAAATTTTATCAGTAGGAAAATTTGCAACTACGGAATCTACAAATGGTAGTTACTAACTAAACTACGGCGTTCCTCATGATAAGTCTGTCCATCAGTTGCACCGAGCTGAAGGCCTGCTCCTCTGTCTCTTCAGGTGAGTCTCCAGGGAAAGACACCAAAGTTGGAATGAAAAGATATTATGTTGTTGTATCAACCTGCTTGCCCTGCCTGTCCCACAGGATCCCCGCTCATGATATGATGATATAGATAAAGGTTTCTTGCTATTTTTTTGAACCTTACATTGTTGGAAGAAGTCATGGCATATGCGTTGCTTGGCAACCAGCATTTTCACTCTCCTTGTTGAAAGAAAGCCAGTAAAACTGCCAACCAGACTATTTTGCTTGGGCCAATCTAGACTCAAAGACATGTCCGTAGGGGAGTAAAATATGGTAGACAGAAAACCTTGGCTTTTTCAACCTCATGATAACCCTTTAACTTGGAGCAAAGATTAGCAAGTAAGTGAGAAGGGCAGGTGAAGGAAGGGGCAGGGTACCAAAGGCTGCCAACTGTAAGCTGAACTCAGTATTGTGGGGAGGGAACTAAAGAGGTTCAAGAGAGTTTGTATGGTCAGCATGAACTCAGTTCACAGCTTTGTATCAAGGCTTAAGTGACAGAAGAGAAGGGGTGAGCTGCTGGCTAGTCTTGCCTGAGTGTCATGCTGGCTAGAGGGAGGCAGAGTCTCAGGGTCATATGAGAGGGGCCCTTGCTATGGAGGATAAGAGTGAGAAGGGACTGGTTATGAAGCTGAGCTGACTGGGGTCTGGGGAAGA